CTTATTGTCATATTTTTAGTGCTAGAAAATAATTTTCCCTTGATATCCCATCGTCAACTCTTGGCAGTACAGTAACTTTAAGAGAGAGTGATACAAAGGGTTGGTTCTCTCAAAGAATCAGCGAATACGTGTTAATTTGAAAGACCATCCCAAAATTCTAAGAATTCAAGTACTAGTCAATCAATATGAATCGAGTACGCACTTATATTATAGTTGCATTCAAATAGTTGATATTGGGATTCTGGAAAAATCTAACGTTCCAAAAGAAGTCGAAGTTAGATACGTGTATATTTGTGTAGGTACTTTTCCTCCAATAGATTTAAACTTTTCAATTTTTTAAACAATTACAAGTGGATAAAACATCAGAAGATTGTCATTGTAGAGGCACTTGATAAATTGATTGCAGCAATTTTTTTTTTTTTTTTGTTGGGGTGGGGGGTGAGGTGCATGGTTCAAAGACTCGGTCGAGTCGTTAATGGAATGGGGCTTTCCGTTCCGATATCGGGACGAGATGACTCCAAAATAATGAATTGTCGAGACGTCTCTCAGACGCATAGAAACAACTGAATCACCTGAGTTATCCCAAATCAACTCGAAATTTTATTTTTTTGCTAATTTTTTATTATTTTTATTTATCTTATTTCTTTACAATTTTTAAAATATTAAATATTCAAAATTTTGTGTTTCATTGAGACCGCGATGATATGGAACAGTTTGAGCGACCACCACGACCACAACTTTTGAACCATGGTGGGGAGGGTTTAAATTTGAAAGACTGCACCTGAATTCTCTATTGCATGCCAATAATTTTCACACTAGGGCTCAAGACATACGGTTCCACACATTTCACATGGGCACGACTGCTCGACTATCATTCTATATAGGGTCTGTTTGGATTGTGAATTATTAGAGATATTTTTACTGTAGCACTTTTTGTGATGTGATGTATGTGAGATAAAAAGGTAATTGGGAAAGTAAAAAGGTGTATTGGAAATTGTAATGATGATGTAAGCAAATAAATTTTGAGAAAATAAAGCTCAATCCAAACAAAGCCTATGCTTACAACTACTGGAGTTTAAGTTCTTGTTTCGAATTACTGAGAGTGAAAGTATTACATTTTTTAAGAGAAGTTATAGTAGTGTGTTTGGGTTGAAGGTTATTTAGAAAAAAATTTCTTTTATTGGTTGTAATACTTTTTGTGATTTGATGTATATCAAAAAAATAATAAAATCAATATAAAAATGATGGGAAGATATGCTTGAAGAATTTGCGTTATTTTTGCTTCTCATCTATTGTAAAATATCTGAGTTATTTACTAAAAAGAAACTCAAATTTGATTAATCGCGGATTATGACCCAAATAATATCATAGTATTGCAATACTCGCTGAAAAATACACTTGGGAGCGAAATTGGAGAGTATGTAGCACCAAAGAAAAAGTGTTTTTGCCAAGCACATTAATAAAAAGAATAACACACAAAACAAGTCATGAAAAACACGTATGACGACCCACATGAAAGTGACAATATACAGACCAACATCCATGCATGGCCCGACTCCATAAAAAAACCAAAACCAAAATAGAAATTTAACTTTGTGTGTCGTATAAATAGAAATTTAACTGTGTGTCGTATACATGTTCTTGTTTGTCGTAGTTCGAAACAAATGGCGTATAGAGGAGTCCTATCAAGTATCAATACAGCATAAGCAATTTCATTTAAAAATCAAGACGCAAAATTATTGGTATTGGCTGAGCGGTCGGAAAAGGATTCTTAAAATTCTCACAGCTACTAAGAGTGTATTTGATAAAATTGAACTCTGAAATTTGAAATATGAAGTTTGATATATTTGATTGTATATCACATTAAATGATAAATGAATAATTTATCACTTATTTTGGAATCAAATTTTGTTTAAAAATTTTAGTGTCACTTAATTAATTCAGATAGTCTATTTTTTGTTATCAAATGCAACTGAATATATTAAGATCTGAAACCAATTAAATTTAAGTATTGAACTGAATTATCAAACAAAGCCTAAGTTCAATTTATTCAAGACACAATTGTTAGTTTTAATTTTACCACACAACCTATATATATGCTATCAAAACAAATGTAAATGTCAATCTAATGAGATATTTAGATACCAACCCAATAAACATAGACATTAAAATAGTAACATATAAAAACACAATCAATTTTATGATTAATTAATTTGTACCAAATTAACTTTACCCCATCGAAATTCAAAATAAATACATCTGAACCCTCAATTGTGTCATGTATAGATTCCATAAATCTAATAGTTCTTTTTTAAAAAAATTTTACTTAGAGAAAACAAATTAAATACGTCAACTCCGAAAGTTCTAGTCTTATGAAGTCAATTAAGAAGGTATACCTCCTAATTATAAGATATTACTGTAATTAAAATTTTTAAAAAACTTGTAACAGATAAACTTGATAAAAAAAAACTCAAATGCCAAACAGGGTCCAAATCTTCGATCGAACCTTGGGAGTAATTCTTAATATTTTCTTTCGAACGAACATGCAGTAGCGTTGGACATACATTTGACAAACATGTAATCTAACAACCATTTCTTCTGAAGACAAATGTACACGTAGATTTGTTACGCGTATATGAAAAGGCCAGAGAGAGAGAGAGCAGAGAGAGGGGGGGAGTAATGATTACAAATGGGGTCATGATGGTAACGCTCCCTTTCCCGTGGAAGATATAAATGATTAAAATCCTCAAAAAGAGTGGGAGAGAGAAATGGGGAGAGCGCAACTGCTGCTGTTAGGACTGCGCAGCCACAGCCGCCATTTCTCCATTTACTCCTTTCTGTGATGATTAAACAAATTAATTGAATGAATCCCTGTCATCATTATTACTCCACCGGTACTGGAAAGAGAAAGCCGAAGAGTCCCAGAAGAGCATGGAGAAACACATAGTACTAAAAAGAACTAAACAATTACAGAACTAACCAGAATAAAGAAAATTGAACTTTTTAACATGATTTTAGATTTTTTAACGAGTATGTAACTTAAGGACGCTCACTAATAAGCACAACTATTAGTCACTCTTCTTTTTACAATTGTCGTCATTTAGTCACTTTTCTTCCCCTTAGTTTCCCTTGATAAAAGATTATTGAGTGAACGCTTATTGGACGAACCTTATATAGAAGAATAATAATAATACTACTTTAATGTTGGGGGCGCTATCTTTCTATCTGGCTATATATATAAAGCTTGGGGACGAAATTTGGTGTTAAAATTTTGTATCAAATTTTAATTTTACACTTATAAAAAGTAATGATTTAATAAAATTATCAACTTAAATTTAGTAACTTTTAATAAAATTTACTTCCAATCGTCAAAAAAAATCCTAAGTTTTTTTTTCCAAAGGCTTCTAATACTTTTCATTAATTTTAATAAAACTAATTTAGATATTTCTTAATTTGCATGCTTATTAAGTGTGTTTTTTTTCCCTCTCGTTATTTCTACCATCCGTTTCATTTTGATAGTCTTAATTTTTTAAAATAATATAAGAAAATTTTGTTAACTTTGTTCGATAAATAAATCTAAAGATTTTCTAATGGGCACCCATTAATCTGAATAACAAACAACCTACTTAAAATAATGTATTGATTCTTTCATAATTTTGAAATCTATTTTTAAGGAACTTATATATTAAATGACATATCTATAAATAAACATCACAATTCTTTCAATAGCACTTAGGAAAATAATTTCGAACTATGAAAATTTTAACTTATATTTAAAATCTTCAATGATATGAGAAAATATACTAAAGACAAAATAAGTGTGTTAAATTCATTTATCAAATAAAATAAATGGAAAGTCTAGTAAACCAAACACATATAATTTGTTTAATTAAGAGAATTAGAATATCGTATATGCTATGCTTGTTTTGTCAATGTGTCTTGAATTTATTTTTTGTAATTTCTTTTTTACAAGTCTTAAAAATTTTATTACTCTATGTCTTCTGCCAAAAATAAATTTTATTTTTCCTTTAAAATTGTCATTTTATCGAGGATAAAAAGTTTCAAATTCATAATTCTTTTTCCATTTTTGAAGTCATAACGGTTTTGATTTGGCTCGATTTAGAATTTAAAAACCTATTATCTCTTTATAGTTAAAAAGAAATAAGAGTATAAAAATAAGTCACTTTAGCAACCTTAATAGTATTATGCATCATTTAGATAAAAAGAAAGAAAAATAAAAAGTTGGACACACTTTTGTTCTTAATTTTATGAAAATTAATTATTAGATTTCTAACCTTAAGTTGCAAAAAAAAAAAAAAAGGACAACTAAACAAAAAAGGAAAAGAATAAAAAGAGGTGACATTGAAGTACAAATATTCAAACTTTCCCTCGACCTTTGTTGGTTTATTTGAAATGGATTTTTTTGTCATTTGCAATATTATTTCCTTAAGAGAAGTTTTTAAAAATTAAATGCTAAAATACATCAATAATGGTAACTTTATTCATTAATTAATGAGTGCACACCTGTTAGTAAATCTAATAAACTATTTCCCTAAAATACTCTTAAATTAATATTAGGAGTATAACTAATTATTTTTTTTACATTAATTATAGCAACAAGACTGATAGAGAGTTGCACCATTAAAGGCACAAATCAAAGTAATTATTGTTGAAAAGTTAAATTAAGAATCAATTCTCATTTCAAATTTTCAACCACAAGTTAAAAAAGTTTGGCTTTTGATATGTTAGTACATTTTGAAAAAGTTGACTATATTAAATATTTACGGGTAAAAAAATTAAAAGTTAATTATATTTTTTAATTGAAAAGTGAACTATAATTAAAAATAAATAAAAAAGAAAAACAAGATTATATAATTTACGAGTACAGGGAAGGATTAGTACTCCTAAGACCGGAGGCTCCTATTTGAGAGGGACGGCCATAACGGGGAGGGGAAAATAGCAAAAAAAAAAAAACAAAGGAGGCATTGGGGGGATCTCCCCTCCCTATCCCTATTCCTTGTAGTAAGAGAGAGGTAGTGGGAAGAGGCAAAAGAGGCCCCCAAAATCAGGTATAAAAAGGCCACCATTTCGGCCATATAAAGGCCACTACTTTCGAGCCTCTTAAATGGAAATCATCAGTTTCTTCTTGTTCTTGCTACTAGTACTATTCCCTCCTCACTGCTACTACTACTACTACTAGAACTAGTCAACTGGTAGCCTCTTAGAAGAAGAAGAAGAAGAAGAAACCTCGTCCTTTATTTGGTTACTGATTTTGGTTCTTGTTTCTCCCTGCAAATATATATATATATATATACATATATATATAAAGATATATAATCCTATTTGCCTTCTTCTTCCCTTTCTTCAGACACACGTCGTATTATTATCAGGACAAGTGTACATAAACGCAGGGCTGTGTTCAGCGATCATTTAAAGGTTGAAATAGGATTGAGAGAAATGGTAGTGGACATGGAAGAAGTGGTGGCAGTGGTGGTGGTGAGGGAGTTCGATGCAAAAAGGGATTCTAGTGCGGCGGTGGAACTAGAGGGGAGGTGTGAAGTTGGGCCAAGTGGAGAGATGTCCCTCTTCACTGATCTTATGGGTGACCCTATTTGCAGGGTCCGTAACTCACCTGCCTATCTCATGCTGGTACGATATCCTTGCTGTAATCAAGGCTACTGCCTCCTCGTACATCTTCCATGTTCTCCTAAGTCCTATCCATATTTGTGTAGTGTGTACTAGTGTACTCCCTACTCTTGAAATTTCGTCAATATCGATTTGCTTTCAGAAGTAATTTATTCAATCAATAATAAAATGTCTTTGATCAGCTTTCTCGGAGAGAAGGGAAAAAAAAGTTTACATGGTGCATTGCAATTTATTCTATCAACTTTTTTTTTGGGGTCATCATCCTATTGATAACCGTTTTCTAAACTAATGATTGCGGGTTAGCCGTGTATCGTTATGCTACAGCTGCTATGTGCCTTAACGTTGTCTCTCCGCTTTTATTTTTATTGTTTTATTATATTTTTATTTTTGGGCTCGAAGGTTAAAAGGGATTACGATGTTTCAGGTGGCTGAGCTAGTGGTGGTGGCCAGTAAAGAAGAAAGTCAAGTGAGGAGAGAAATAGTGGGAATGATAAGGGGCTGCATCAAAACCGTTACGTGCGGAAAGAAATTCTCCAGAATTTCAAACGGCAACAAGGATCGTCGTCCTACAAATCCCTTCCTTCCCATCTACACCAAACTTGCCTACGTCTTAGGCCTTCGCGTCTCTCCTTCCCATCGGTATCCTTCTCATTCCCTTTGCCTTCTTCTAATTTCATTTTCACCATCTGTTCTTTTCTTTTTTTTTTTCCTTTTCCTTCTTCTTAATTTAAAATCCAGTGTAGTAGTATTTATTATCTATTTTAATAGTTCTTTTTTCTTTTATTTTTTTGGGAGCCACCAAAGTAATAAAACAGTTACGAAAGACACATCATCAATGATCACAACTTTGCCAAAAATGGGAAATTTGCAAATACCCCCACCATTTCCTCCCAACAAAGAAAAAAAAAAAAAAAAAAAACCCAAACCAAACCACAAAAAAAAAAGGGGAGGGGTTTTTGTGAGCGTGGAGAGAGAGGTGGGGTTTTTTTTTTTGGGTGTGGATATTTAATCATCATCATTATTGTTGTAGTTGGATGGTTACTTTTTTAAGTATTAATTTCGGCCTGATGATGCATGTAATAGTAATATATTTGTTCAAACGTGAAGTTACGTAACACAACAATAAAAAATAAACAGCAATTTGTTGACGGTTTGCAGGAGGATGGGAATTGGGATGAAGCTGGTGTGTAAAATGGAGGAGTGGTTCCGTGAAAATGGTGCTGAATATTCGTACATGGCTACTGAGAGTGACAACAAGGCCTCCATTCAGCTCTTCACCCACAAATGCGGTTACTCCAAGTTCCGTACCCCGGCGATCCTGGTCCAACCTGTGTTTGAACACCGCGTTCGACTCACCCGACGAGTTACAGTCGTCAAACTCACTTCCTCCGACGCCGAAGCCCTCTACCGCAGCCGATTCTCCACCACCGAGTTCTTCCCTCGCGACATTGACTCCATTCTCAACAACAGGCTCAATCTGGGCACTTATCTAGCGGTCCCGAGGGGCGCCTACTCGGCTGAGTCATGGCCGGGTATGGATGAGTTCCTAGCGAGCCCGCCCGAGTCGTGGGCCGTGCTCAGCGTGTGGAACTGTAGCGACGTGTTCAAGCTGGAGGTCCGCGGAGCGTCGGCCCTGAGAACGGGTCTGGCCAGGACAACCCGGTTGGTGGACAGGGCTTTTCCTTGGCTGCGGATACCTTCGGTGCCCGAAGTTTTCCGCCCATTTGGGCTTCACTTCTTGTATGGGCTAGGCGGGGAGGGCCCACTTTCGGTGAAATTCATGAAGGCACTGTGTGGGTTCGCGCATAACCTGGCTAAAGAGTGCGGTTGCGGGGTGGTGGCGACGGAGGTGGCCGGTCGAGAACCGCTCAAGTTAGGAATCCCTCACTGGAAGAGTCTATCTTGCGCCGAGGATCTATGGTGCATAAAACGTTTAGGGGAGGACTACAGTGACGGGTCAGTGGGCGACTGGACCAAATGTCCTCCTGGTTTGTCCATATTCGTTGATCCCAGAGAGTTCTAACGTCTAGGCAGGTCCTCACCAGGACAAAACAAAGAATCTAACTCCCTTCTTACGTAGTTTCTTTTTTCATTTTTTTTTTTAAATTTTATTTTGGGGTTAACTTGAAACTTTTGGCCGCTAGAGGAGGAGGAGGAGGAGTTTCTAATGGTGCCGGCAGGTTTTGCAGAGGAGAGAAAAAGAAGAAGGGGGTTGTTGGGCGAGGGGGGGGGGCCCGGGGAAAAGCTGGTGAAGAGAAAAAATAGATTAGAAGATGTGGATGATCAAAATTCGGTCTCTGTTTATCTTGGGTTGTGAAGCGCACATCCCTCAATCCAAAGCCTTTTTCCTTTTTGTAAATGGATGTGGCTTTTTAGATCCTCTTCCGGCCAAACGGAGCCTAGTTTTGTTTTCAAGCATCCTCTCCCTTTCTAATTATTCTCGTGCCTTTTTTTTCTTTTTGGTTAAAAAAGAAATATATCCAACAACGGTACGACAGTTGCAAAATTTACCAGTAACACATCACAAGCCACGTGAAAATTTGGAAGTTTTAGAGACGTGAGTGCGCAAATCTTTAGTTCGCTGTCCCCTTTTTTTTTTTTTTTTTTTTTTAATCACTTAGCCGCATTTCTTCGGGTGACAGAAACAATGCGAAGGAGACAAATGATAAAAAGCTAAAAAAAATGGTACACTTAATGATGCAAAATGCAACGTGCAGGGACCCCCATGAAATTATGAATGGAGATGGACGAAATGCCATAGAAATCGACACAATTTTGAAGAGGGATTATTGTAGCTACTCTCCTAGAAGGTTTCTTCTTCTTTTTTTTTTTTTTTTTTGTGGTCAAATGTCAACTTGTATGTATGCCTCGAAGGTTTCTTTCTTTTGGGGAACTCAAAATTGTACATGGCTTTTCCACCTTTCCAAACACAAGTAGCCGCAGGTTTGTTGTTACGCCAGGATGACCAGCAGAAAATGCTTCCTTGCTCTAAAATAAAATGTCGTCCTAATATTAATAAATAAAACATGCATGCATGCAGCAATCACAATCTTTTATTTATTTACGCACTCGAGTTCTGTCTTTTGCAGAAGCTTATGATACAATGCTTGGAGGAACTGAAAAAAAAAAAAAAGGCAGAGTAAATTTTTTTTTTTTTTTGGAAAACCAGCAAATAATGCATACACTACAATAAATGTCAATGTGGATCGAAAGTGTTTCTTTGGGCGGCCAACACAAGTTAAAGAAACACCGAGAAATTCGGTCATGGGAACATCTGCTTTCATCTCTCTCTTTTTCGCAACTTTTGGATTTGGTTGGGCAAGTGTGGCTCGTGCTTTACTAGGAGGCTTCACGGGGGGCTTAAGATGGTCATATGAAACATGATCCACAATGGTCGACGGGGCAGGTCATCAAGGATTCTTTTTCTTTTCATAACACTAGGAGCGGAATGTTGATGTAACGGCCTAGGTCAAAGTCATAGATGGAAGATTTTCCTTTCTTACGGATGAAAATCCCCGTCCTACCTACTTCCCCCATTGCCTGGCTTTTAAGAAAGAATAAAGGTGTGAAGTCGACGAGGTTTGAGTTGAAACAAAAAGTTAAATTCAAAATCAACCATTTGATTCAGAAGAGAGCGTGGTTAACATTAATAATTTCACGTGTTACTTAGTTGGGGGAGAGAGCGGAAGGATTAGAACTTAAGACCTCTAATTTTTGGAATCTCGATCTTAGCCATCATCAGATCAAGACCCTCTTCTCTTGGATCTCCATTTGTTTCTTGGTTATAAACTTACTCTATTATATCCTACAGGAGAAAAAAGAAACAAAACGATGCATCTTCATGGAATAACTTTTATTGTTCATTGGTCCAGACCAGTGGATGGACAGAAGGGTATGTTTCCTTGCAACTTCGATGCATTGAACTCGGAAAGCTCAAGCAAAGGCACTACTTGGTTTCTTGAGAAAGACAAACAATGTACGGCCCAAATTTTTATCTTTCTGTTTGAGCAATCAAGTGCATTCTTGACGAGAAGAATTATAAATTATCTCGAATTGATTCTTATCTTGTAAAGCTTCTTACTACTTTATCGTGGTCCGATTGAGCCGGAAAAAAAAAAATTACATCGTGGCGTGAGTCATGACACAGAAGAAGAAGTCGAGAGTAGTGCATGCCTAACCAAGCCTAATTGTTCGCAATCAACCCCCCGCATAAACTAGAGTCAGAGGGTTGACTGTCGTCGTGCTTTTTCCCCCTCCAACAAAATAAAATAATAAAAAAAGAAGAAGATATTTTAGAAGAAGACTCCAGTAATCTTGTCTGAAAAAAAAGTTAAGAATATGACTCGAGACTAAGACTAAAGCCAGCCCTTCTTCTTTCGTTGACTGGAACGACCTCAAAGTGATGTGGTTTAGGTACTCGCAGGGAAATTAAGAATCAAACTCGATCAGAAGTTTGCTTTTAATATGCTTAATTTACTACTTTGTCCGTGGATCCTGGAAGACTGATTGGCCTAATCATTAGTTTGGTGGCTTCTCCAGCCATTATTAGAGCACTTGGGTATTTACTTTCTGGTTCTCTCCTTTTTTTTTTTTTTTTTTTTTAACTTCAAAGCTTTTATGAGGCCTCAAATTACGCTCAGCGATTTAGAACATCGGGTAATAATAAGATTGTGCTCAACCAATTGTTTTCAGTCTTTGAGTGATATGCATACCTAAAAGAAAAGATAAGATTATAGATTCGCGACTTGTTTGTCAAATGTACTTTGTTTTTCAAGTGTTTGGAAGCTGGAACTCATATACTACTGTTTTTTTTTTTTTTCACTGATAGCTATTTACAGCCACTCCTATATTAGAGGAATGGAACGAGATAGATCCATGGTTCGAAGTCTCGGCCGAGTCGTCACCGTCTCGGCCCCTACCGATACGATATCGTGACGAAACGATACCGAGATACTTAACTCGTCGAGAAATCGGCCGAGACGTCACCGCGACGGATTGACTCGGCCGAGTCACACGAGTTACTCCGAGTTATTCCGAGTCAAGACGAGAAATCGGCTGAGTTACACCGTGACGGATTGACTCGACCAATTCTTTTGCTATTTTTTATTATTTTTGTTTAGCATACTTTTTTTATATTATTAATAATTTTTAAAATATTAAATACTTTAAAATTTGCGTCTCACCGAGATCGCGACCGATATGCCGAGACCGATGTGGAACGTTCCGGGCCGCGACCGTGACCGCGACCACGACTTTGAACCATGGATAGATCCAATCAGATCATTGAAAGTCTAGAAGTAACTATAAACTATCTCTAAATTTAGATGAGTACATACACTGTTACACTTGCTTGAGAATAATCCTACGTTGAAGAATACATGAGCAGGAAGTTCTTAACTCCGAACTCGCATTGAAAGAGGGACCTAAATTCCTCACTGGACGCTTGGCATATGGTGGTGCTTGGAAGCTATAACCTCAAATGGATGAGGCCCAAATCTCTCGTTCTTTGTTTGATGTCACGTTGATTGAGGTTGCGTGATGTGAGAGTTGGATAAGAAAAAAAATCTACGTGGATAGAACAATCCATCGTTGAAGTAAGCCCACTTGGAGTGGTCGCCTCGCCTCTGCTTTTCATAGTTCGAATCAAAGATCGGAGGAATATGAAGATTGGAATTTGGAGTTACCCACATTTTGTTCTTCTTTTGAATCATGTGGATGCGTGCAAGTTTCAGTACTAGTGGGATTTGGATTGGCTTTGTGCTGTTCGGGAATCTCATCCAACACGTCATGGTCACCTGAAAAACAGGCTTTAACGCCTCACTCTGCACATAATAGCAGCTCTTGCTGGGAAGATCTTTTAGGAACCATTTGTTCCTTCTCATTTTTTTTTTGTTTTTGGTCTCTCAAGGCAGAAAAGTTGATTGTTCACCCCGTGAACTATATGATATTATAGTGTAAACTTCCACTTAGGGACATGTTTTTTCCCCCAGATGATAATTAGCAGTCGATGGATTACTATTAGTTTGGGAAATGAGAATTACATACTTCACGCATTTGATATGGGATCTTCCATGAAATCCGACTTTTTTGGCTTTTGGGGTCATCAGGATGAGAATCATTTTTCGGAAGTAATAGAAAACCTTCTCAATGAAACAGCACTTTTTGTCGTCCAAATTCTGTCACTAGTTTTGATCTTCTTTGATCTTGTCAATTCATTTGAAGTCTTAACAAGAAAGTTGGGATCAAACCATTTTCCATCAAGTAAAAACTACAACCTCTGCAGAAAATGAAGACCATTACAGCGATTGCCATTAACCTCAGCAATGTAGGAACGAAGTACTGGGATCTCAACTATAGATGAAGGTGTAGCTGCTAAGCTCACGGTGAGCAAGGTGGCTGCGCAGCATTGGGGGAAGGTTGTCGTCCGAATACCTGACAAGCAGCTCCTGAATCACATAACAACAACGCAAAAAGCTAGACATGTTATTATTAGACTGTTAACACCGGTGCACGATCCACACAATTTGAGCTGCCTGACAACAACTCTGAACTAAATGGTGCAGGACCGAAGAGGAAGTTAAGCCCAAATGTATATCATGGGCGACGCTCGTAAGTCACGACTAGCATTTGTGTCTGTAGTCCAGTCAATCTAACTTTGACTGAATCCTATTAAATCACAACACCCGTTGGCCGCTATAATAATACATTTTGTTTCTTGTAGGAATAGTGAATCTTGTATAAATCTAGCCCATAAATATTTTGTAATTTTCACAAGCATAATTTATGGCGGCCTTTTTTTAAAGTAGAAGTGTAGAAGTAGAAGGCACCTCCAAGATGCAGGAGACCAGGGTCAAAAAAATCCTAAGCAGGGATTATGTCATTATGGCACCGGGAACGCCCAACGATGCGGCCTCTCCAGGAAACTGAGAAAGAAATGACATTTCTGAGGTAACAAAATCTCACCACCACTGGTACAGAAAGGCAAGGCCTGACACCTGAAAAAGTCCCAAGCTCTCTTTCTGCAAAGCATCTTTCTAAGCCTAGCAGAATTCGTCTTCCCTTCTCCGCTGCTT